CGACGCTGTTGCTCAGAGCTCGCGCTCTTAACCAACTGAGCCACTCGGCCAGCCCCAACCTCCACTTTCTGAGTGCTGCCAGCTTTAACTAGGCTGAGAGGAGACCTCCATACCTACTCCTTAGAGACCCACCTCGGTGGGCATCAGGTTGAACGTGGCTCTGGGGCCAAGTGCCAAGCACAGGCCCGAGTGGGTCAGGGTCTCTGCTCTGCTCTTGCCTCTGCACGTAGCCCCACCACTGCATGCTGTGGGACCCAAGGCGAGCGGCAGTGGGGAGCGTGAGACGGTCCTGGCAGACTTTTCTTCCCCGCCACCGCATGAGTGCAGAATCTGTCTGGCTGACCTCTTTCTTTAAGATGGGACATCTCATCCTTCCTGCAGGGATCTCATTAGCTGCAGCTCCTCAAGAGGGTCCCTGAGTGTCTGTGGGTGTCCACAGATGCTGCTGGTCTTGCCCCGTAGTTTTGGAGGTGCCATGTTTATGGTTTCAGGGCTCTGAGCCCCAGCATCACCTCTAAGATGGCTTGCCTCAGTAAAGGAGCTATATCTGCAAGCAAGAAAGTGATTCCTGCTGACGGTACTTGTGCTTGGTGCTTTTCCTGAGAGCACGGCTCCGCCCTGGTCCCCTTGCTTACGTGTAAGGCCAGATTTCACTTCTCTGTAGAACATCAACCATTTTCTTTCATTCGTGGGTTTTGTAGATTCCATCCATCATCCAAGTCATTCTGCTGTACTGTCTTCTAAACCATCAGCAACCAGTGCGCCTCAGGGGGTTAAGGCCGAACCCAGCAGCAACCCCAGCAGCTTGCCTGCTCCCCAGAAACACCCCCAGGAGGCCAGCCAGGCCCAGCCAGGTATGCACCAGCCAATGTCACCAGCTGCCTGTTTGACCTTTCTTCAGCTACAGATGTTTCCACAGTTAGGGGCTCATATGCATCAAATCCTAGACAAAGATCAAGAGAGCCTCCCAATTTGTTGATTGTGTCTGACTCTTTTTGTTTTAAATATTTTAGAAAAATAAGTAATCCACAAGAGAGTTTTGACCAGTAGTTAGCTAATCTTTTAAAAATAAACATTTTCATTTCTTTCTCCCTGGGAAGCAAAGAGGCAAAATGCTTCTCCCCAGATTACAGTAGCCAAAGAATAAAAAGAAATTCACGTCTGCTGCTCCCCTGGACATATTACCCATGTTATTTGCCTGGAGCCTCTGCAGTAAGTGGGGGTGCTTACTTCATAACTGAGGAGGCCTCCATATCCTCAGACAAGCCTGGTCTTACTATGTTATTATTCAGGATTGATGAATGGGTTGGCCGTCCTTGATGGGTACCTGGTGTGTATCCTGGGGCCAGGTAGAGGGGTGCATTCACTTACCTGCCCCGGCGTCGTTGCCAGGCTTGCACTGTTCAATCACAGCTCTGCCCCAGAGACGAGGCTGACCCCTGCCACGGCTGGCTGCTGTCTTCAGTGTGGCTTGTGGAGAGGTGCCCGCAGAAAGCACAGCGCTTTCCTACTGTCGCCCCTGTCTCTCCTGAGGACAGATTACCCAAAATCTCAAGGAGGAGGATGTGTCCGATTCTTCCTGAGCCTCGGCTCGAAGGGTCTGGGCCACAGTGGGCAGCAGCTGGCCCAGGAATCAGGGGGTAAAGGCTGTTCCCCCAGCACCGTAGGCATCTGCGTAAATGCCCTGGGGTTACACAGAGTGGAAGAGCAAGGGGTTTAAAATCAGAACACTTCCTTGACGGATGCTGGACCGTGTCTCTTGGCAATTCAGGTGTCATTGCAACACTGCTCTGAAACACTGCTCTGAAGCATCCTGGGGAAAGGGATGTGTTTTAGAATGTAATCATTGTCTTCCTGGGGAGACATTTTCCACAGGTCAGCCTTGGTTTCTGCCCCTCCCTGGGCCCCCTGCCCTATAACTGTTTCTAGGAAAGAGGAGACAGATCAGAAACATCAGAACTTCCCAAGGTTCTCACAGACCTGTCTGTAGATGAGTTGCATCATGATCACCTGGGAAGGTTTGTTTAAGTGCAGATTTCTAAGCTCTACCACCAGAATTTATGATTCAGTAGGTCTGTGTTAGCACCTGAAGAGTCTGAGTATATTGAGAATTTTTCCTAAGTGATTCGAATGCCCAGACAGGCTTGTAAGTCACCGTGACTGGGTCGCTTCACTGAGGCCTCTGTTTTTCATCTGGTGAATGAACATATTGATTTGGGATTCTGAAATCTACTTCCATCGGAATCTTGAGTTGCATACACTAATAACGCCAGTTTCCCCACAGTCCTAGTCCACACCTGATGCTTTCAGAAAAGGAGTTCTAGGTGTGGGGAGAATCTTAGCACAGGAGCAGGGCTGGCACCTGCTGCGAGCAGCACCCCGGGGCCCTTGGGAGCATTCGGGCATAGCTGTCCTGTAGCCTCTTGTTTTCAAGATGAGCATAGAATGTGTGCGCAGGATCGCCCTGGCAGGGGGAAGGAGGGAGTGTCAGCCAGGCCGGCCTCTTGGAGCAGTGCTCACCTTTGGCCTTGGCAGCGATCACGCTTAGCCATCCCAGCCAGCACCACGTTGAAGGATAGCCACTCCCTAGGAGACGTCTGGCCAGGGAACGGGTTCATCCTCTGTCTTTTACCCACTCCTTTCTCTCCCTTTCTGTCTAATGATGTGTCTTTCTCCCTAACTTTCTATTTCTAGGCCTTCATTTTCCCACCACACCCACGCTGGTTAGCCTCCCCCGGGCACCACTGCCCTCAGCTCCAGCCAGCTTCCTGCCTTTCGGCCCCGCTGGCCCTCCCCTCCTCGGCTGCTGTGAGACATCCGCGGTCTCCTTGGCCGAGGCTCAGCAGGAGCTGCAGATGCTGCAGAAGCAGCTGGGAGAAAGTGAGCACTTCCGGCTGCGCCTGTGTGCTTGCAAATGGCAGCCCACCTGTGCTGCTCTGCATGGCTTTGGCTTGATGGCAGAGGTTTAAAAACCAACAAGGGGACACATTCCCCATGGACGATGGAGGGAGCGCGCCGCTTGCTGTTTTGGAAACGTATTTGCTGTTATCTTTCTGGCATGCGTGTCTTATCCGTTAACAGGTATACATGCTCACTGGGCCCTCTCACTGCTGACAGGATGGGGTGCCACCAAGTGTGCTCCAAGCCTGATGCGCTGGTGACATGCTTCCTGGCAGGGCATGGGAGAGAGCTTTTGTGTCTTGCCTACGCAGGTGAAGTGGCCATGAAAAAGATGGCTGTGTTCTGTGGGATCCTCTCCATGGATGTTGTGTCCTCCTGCTGTGAAATGCTTTTAATCAAGTTCAGGTCCTGACATCATCAAGTGGGGAGCAGAAAGGTAGAGGGGTTCAGGAGAAGGGCTGACAAAGCCCATCTTCCAAGAGCTCAAGGTTCATTGATGCCTCTGGACAGGTGACAGGTGGGCAGCTAGAACCTGAAGCACAGGCTCTGATGTCTGATTGTGAATTCTGTCCTCGGACTCCCAGGGACAATTGATGTTATGTAGACACAGAATTCATAGACTGTGTGCATTCATCTTTTAGAAAAGGTTCTATGTAGACACGGGCTGGATGCCTCGTCATGGAAAGCGTTTCGTGTGTGATCACTTACAGCTTAGAAAAAAATAAGAAAAGAATCCCATGTGATAAATTTGCTCTCTGATAGTGCTTAAAAAAACAACTAGAAAGCAGTTTGAAATTACCTTAAAACCACATTCTGTTCCTGTTAGGAAGCTCAGGTGAGCCAGAGATTGATGGTACATGTCACCACACAAAGGGATTCCTAAGACCACAGACAAGAATTTGTCTTCCTGAAGCCCCCAATGTCATTTGGACCAGCTCATCTCTTTTGCTGACCCCAAAAACAGATACACCGTCTTTTCTCCCCCCCAGTTTGATTTGCAGAACCAAGACCGTTTTTAGGAGCGTTTGTGTATCTTCCTTTCTGCAGACAGTGAAGTCCAGGAGGCTGCCGTCTGCTTATCAGCGTACATAGGTGCAGCAGTCTAGGCTCACCCAGCAACACGAGCCCCGTACAGCTTGTGTGGCAGGGAGAGCCAGAGCAGGGAAGCAAGGCTGGGGGCAGTGCAGTGATGTGTTCAACGTCACTGGTAAGTGGGAGAGATGGGCTTGACTCCAGGTCTCCTGCTGCCAGTGCTGTGTTTCCATTATGCGTTTCCTGCCTAGGATGGTTTTGTTGTCATCCTGCCTGGAGCATAAGCTGAGCTCAGGTGAACAATTTTGGAGGCCCCTTCCAACAAGCTTTTCTCTCTTCAGAGACCAGTGGAAGGTGCTGGTGTCTCTGACCTAGAACTTAATACGATAGCAATCCTGGAACCAACACTTGATGGATAACAACTTCATCCCTTGCCAAATGGCAAGAGTGTTCTCCAGCATGTTTTCCCCCCTTTCCATTCCACATCTGTCAATCTGTTGTTGTCCAAAGGGAAAGATGGAAGGAGAGCACTGCATGAAAGGGGTTGAAGTCCCATCTAGTCTGAGCCATTGACCAGATTTTGGATGGTCCCAGCCTTGGTAAGGAAGACTGTAGCCCTTCCTGTTCTCTCCGGAAGCATGGTCCTTTCTGAGGGACCATCACTTACCAGCGTCTTTTGTTCGCTTTAAACCAAGCTTCCATGTGGACAGTGGTGCATGGCGGCTTCTCAGGTCACCGTGGGGCTAACATCTCCTTGTGCCGCAGTCTGTCTGGTGTCTTTGCATGGTTTAGGGCAGGCATGTGCTTTGTACTGTGTGGCCAGGGGAGATTGGAACATGAGAATACTGATCACTGATATTGATACACTTGGAACCTCCTCCAACCTTGGTTAAAAAGTAAGCTGACTGTCCACAACCACTGATTTCCCGCTTTGCCTTGTTTGGGGGTGGAGTGGAAGGGGGTAGGAAATCACGTCTTTATTGACTCCTGACTCAAATGTAGATGCTTGCAATTTCCTTCCCCCCTTTAACTCCCAGGGAGCCTAATGAAGATCTGTATTTTGCACATTGAGGAAGGAAAGACCCATGTCGCTACTTCTCAAACGTTTCTGCCTGTTAGAATCACCTTGGATGATATAAAACATCCAGTGTCCAAGCTGCACCCCATACAAGTTAAGGCAAAATCTCTGAGGGTCCAGGCATCAGTATATACAGTGAAACCTTGGATTCTGAGTAACATGGTTTGCAAGCGTTTCACAAGATGAACAAACATTTCTAATACATTTTAACGTGGTAAACGAGCGATGTCTTGCAATACGAGTAGTTTGTTTCTGGAACAAATTAATGCTTGCAAACCAAGGTATTACTGTATATATTTTTTACATTGTCCCAGGTGATTCCAGTGTGTAATTTGGGAACCAGTTACACAAATGGAGATAAAGATTGGCAAGTGCCAATTGCATTTTCCCCTTAGAGGAGCTTGGCTTTGTGGGAAGAAATGATGGCCTCACTCCTGCTTGCTTAGGTGGACCTACCTGTTCACTCTGCTGCCCACGTTCATAATCCCTGGAAGGAATATGAATATGAATATCCTAAACTACAGCCCTGCCCACCTCACTGTGTCTCTCCCCCGAGCTGGGCTTTTTTTCACATAAAAGCAGAGATGATGGTGCTCAAGGGAAGGCCGGTGATTTCCTCAGACCTATGAAAGCATCAGCCTATGAAATGAAAGGCCCTCCTTCCCTCCGTGGAAGAGTCTCCAATGATTCCTTAGACAAAGTGATGGAGTTTTGCAGTTCCTTGAATCATGTGTGGTGAGGTCGAAATCACTGCTCGCCTTACACAGAACCTCCCCCAGCCTCAGCGAGGAGTTCTTCAGTCTGGAGGAATTGGGGACCACCATGTCTAGTTGGATTTCATGTCCCCTTTCTCCTCTGACAACCCCAAAGGAGAAATGGGAAAATGGGCTGGTTAGCTTCCGGGGAAGGCACGTACTCAGAGGCAGACCAATATGCCTGCCCGCAGGTGTGCTCAGTGCCACAGCCCATCGCACTCCTGACCCCTGACTTTGGGGGCGCTTTCTGCTTGTAGAGCTTCCCTACACCCTCATAAGGAATTATAACAGGAGGAGGGCCACGGGCTCCTCCTGTGTGCCTGGTGCCTTTCAGATACTTTATCCACCCCCACCTTGTAGTGCCTCGTGCTGGCAAATATACGGGTGGAAATGATAACCTCCATGTTATGAGTCTTCATCTCATTGGGATTCCGCAGTGGACGGGGCTTTCTGACATCCACATATCCCTTTAGTGTCTGTTCTTAGCAACCGCACACTTCCTGGCTCATCCTCCCCTTCCGATGCTCAGTTTCTCACTCATGTTTCTTTCTGCCCAGGTATCAGCACCGTCCATCCTGCTTCCCCAGCTACGTTGCCAAGCAACCATTTAGAAGCCAAGTCCTCCCACTACCTCCACCCTGCCCAGCCCCACTCTCCTCCGAGGGGCACCCTAGAGCTGGGCAGGGTCCTGGAGCCCAGGTACCTGGGCAGCAGTGGCCACTGGGATATGATGAGGCCTCAGAAAGGGAGCATTTCTGGGGAGCTATTCTCCGGCTCCTCCGTGTGCCAGCTGAACTCCAAGCCCACAGGTAAAGCCCAAAGCTGAGCAGCTCAGCCTGCGAAATGAAATCCCATTTAGATCCACCCCTTTCCTACCTGGGCAGGGCCGTTTTTATTATCTCCTCTAGTTTCCTGGCTCACAGGGCGGGATGAAATGAAAGGGCCATGGCAGTGCTTACTGCATCCTTCATCCTCCCGGCCCAGGGCCTCGGTGCTGGGCAGGCATGGGAAAGTCAGGGACCCACCTCTGCGCTCTCACATCCATGTGCTCTCTCCCTGCGTCCTGAGCCCCTGACAGCCCACTCTTAGACCCTTTCAGAACACCAAGCACCAACATTCACAGGACATGCTTCCATCGGTAAGGAGTTGTTGCAGAAAGGGTGGCTGTTTCTATACAGCTTCCCAGCCCATAAGTATATCCCAGGTACAAAACCCAGTTCAAACTTCCCCTCTCAGCCCTAGCTCTCCTGGTCAGGGCCGAGAGACACCGCATCGAGCGGAGAGGTCAGCTATACAGGCGACTGCTGGGGTGTAGCTCAGTTTTAATGGTGAGACAGTGGTCATTTTCAGAGAAAGATGGAGCCCAAGGCAAAATGGTGTAGTCTGTCCTCAGCACTCCTCCCATCTCTCTTCTGCATCTTTTTTTCTTTCCTTGGTGGTGGTGCTTCTTCCTCTCTGATCAGCCTTCAGGTCCCTAGGTCTCCTCCCGCCTTCCTTCCTTCCTTCCTTCCTTCCTTCCTTCCTTCCTTCCTTCCTTCCTTCCTTNCTTCCTTCCTTCCTTCCTTCCTTTCCTTCCTTCCTTCCTTCCTTCCTTCCTTCCTTCCTTCCTTCCTTCCTTCCTTCCACATTAAAGGTGATTGGAGGGCAATTTTAGGACCAGTCATTAGGCACACAGGATGAGTTTATGTTCATGTCCTTTTCCCCGGGGCCTTTTCTCTAAGGGTAGAGGAAGGGCTTTGTCCCTTGCTAAAGAATGTTCAGTCAAGTATCAGTAAGAGGAGAGGTATCAGGGTAGAGTGAGGCCTTCCGTGTCATACTCAAAGTCACACTCAGGAGGTGGCCACCCCTTTCAGATACAAGGAAAGCCCTGTCCACTGCCTTCGGTTATTTTGCTAAACCATGTGAAACTTCCTTAGCCTCACCAGTTACACTGGTGACCATACATTTGCACTAAAAACTCCCTTACATTCAGCCCTGCGTGGGAGGAAGCCATGGGGTTGCTTAGCACCAGGCTGTCCTGTGTTTGAAAACCAACTTACCTTTTAAACCAAGTGCCCTGTGTTCCTGGGCGCCCGTGGGAGGGGACACGGTTGGCAGAGGGATGGTGATGTTGAGGGATCTCACCGAGAGGCCACTGGCCGAGCTCAGCCCCCACGTGTGCCCCGCTGGTGACCAGAATTCTCCATCCCACCTCTCCCCTGTCCTGGTGGGGTGGCTGCAGGGGCTGACCTGCTGGAAGAGCATCTTGGCGAGATCCGGAACCTGCGCCAGCGCCTGGAGGAGTCCATCTGCATCAACGACCGTCTTCGGGAGCAGCTAGAACACCGGCTCAGCTCCACTGCCCGCAGCAGCGGTAGGAGAGGCCCCGGGCTTCCGATTTCTGGTCGTGACTAGGGCACCTCTGAAGGGAGCACCTTGGCAGAGCCTGGCAGCTTTCACAGCACTGGATGCACCTTTCTCCTCTTGCTCCTTGCAAACAGCCCAGCAGGGCCAGGGGGCAGGTGCTGTTATCCTCACTCGGTAGATGTATCAGAGCTCAGAGAGGAACTTGCCTCCCTGCAGCACTAACGGGGTCCATCCCCACAGCCTCATCCCTTTCTTAATGTGCTTACACACTGCCCTGTGCCCGTATCCTGTGTTGGCAAGTGGTAGAGCCCCGTCTGCAGGGACCCTCCCCCAGCCACTTAGCAAGGTGGCCTTTCCCACCACTCTCCGCTCCCAGGCTGCTGTCACTTGGAGTCCGTCCCTTCCACACACCTGTCCTGCCCACAGCGCAGCAGTGGCTGTTTAGGGCAGAGCCTCCTGGAGGACTGCAGCGAGGGCACGTGGTAATGCATGCAGGGGCTCCACTGAGAGAGGCCCATGAAAGCCAGGCTGTAGGCCCAGGACACAAGTCCTTGGGGGTTTCTGCTGGGTTGGGATAGTGTCTTTGAAGATACAGAAGGGGCAACTTTTGAAAGCACCCCTTACCCAAATGCGTAACTTGCCTGCTTGCACTTTCCGAGACAGGACCCACCTCTACCTTCTACGGTCAGGGCCTGGAGTCCACACCTCAGCTGTACAACGAGAACAGAATCCTTCGGGAAGAAAACCGGAGCCTTCAGGCTCAGCTGAGTCACATTTCCAGAGGTGGGTGGTCAAAAGCCACAAACCATGGTCACTCTCGGGTCCCTCTCTTCCCTGGTCACACCGTCACCAACGGGAGAAGCAAAGAGTGGAGGTGGGAATAACCGAGCTACCCAGATCCACCCCAAATTCCCATAGCTGTTCTTGGTCTAGAAAGGGCTACGTCCTGAGAGGTTGCAACTATGGACTGACCCTCCGACTCCTGGACTCCAGGGTCACAGTGCTCTAGGAAATCCACCACTTCTGTACAGATACGCAGTCATTAGCTATCAAACTGGATACTATTAGGTATCTGATCTACCTCCCTGAAGCTCACAGCTGATTTGGAACCAGGAAAGGAAGGAACCTGAGTGCTTATATACCCCCTCAAGTTACTCCAGACTCTGCAGCTCTCTGTGTCCCTCCCCATACTGAGCTGCCACCCCCCTATCTCCTCACCACCTCCTCTCACTCGTACACTCAGGGCTCCTCGCGACTCTGTGTCTGGAGGTGTGCGCAAAATGTCCTCCATAGCTTTCCCAGCTCTATCCAATGGGCATCCTCGGGTGGGCGTCATTTCCTGTGTGGCCTGGGGTGCAGCTGGCCTTCATGTTAATTGACTTGATCAAATCAATAGGTTATCAGTAACAGATGATTTTGATTTACAAATATTTATTGAATAGCCATAAAAGATTAAGAATAGTATCCAAAAAGGATTACACCTAGAGTGAAATATTGCTTGTGGAAAAGGAAAAAGGCACCAACAGAGTTTTCTAAATTAGCAAGAAGATGTGAGAGGAAAACTCACTGCTTGGGGAAGATAACAAAGGTTAATAGATAAGCAAGAAGGCAGAACTACTAAACTACCATTGCATGCCTAGACTAGACTAGACCTTACAGGTGAGAACATAGTAAGAGATTTAAATGAGTACAGTTTGCCAGGTCCAGGTGAATTCCCTCAGAGGACTAACAGCACCTGCAGTCTTGTTCTCTGAGTCCCTGCCAATAATCTTTGAAAAATTCTGGGAGAGATGCCACAAGATCCGAAAAGAACGCTTCCCAATTTTCAAAATGATGACAATAATATATACTAAAAACTGTAGACAGGAAATCTTGATGCCGATCTTCGACAAAATTCAAGAATGGATTATTGCTCAGAGGGTTGTAAGAACTCAGAAAGTGGTAAGCATTAGAAACCAGAGTGTTTTTTTGAAGAGCAAGGTAGGCCTTATTATCAGAAGATCAAGGGCAATGCAAAGATAGAGGTCCCCCATTCCCCAGGGTGTGTGGATACAGTGAGCCCAGCGCACTCTGTGCCTCCCTGGCCAGCTGCAGCATAAGATGGCCTTCCTTGTGCCTTAGTTCTGTTTGTCAGGATGATGTGCTTGAGCTCACCGTTCTGCTGCCCTTTGGCCCCACATCTAAATGCTCCTGTGTTCTGCTCACCAGAGCACTCCCAGGAAACGGAGCGCCTGAGGGAGGCTCTGCTGACCTCACGATCCCGGCTTCAAGAGCTGGAAATGGAGCTGGAGCGCCAAAAGGTGGACCGGCAGCAGCTTTTGGAAGACTTGAAGGAAAAACAGCAGGAGATCTTGCATTTCCAGGAGGAACGACTGTCCCTCCAGGAGAAAGACTCCAGGTCAGCGGGAGCCCACTAATAAGGAAGGTGGTGCCATTTTCAGGTTTGGAAGAGGGGACATGGGCGAGACAGCTGATGGTCCTTTTTTTTTGAATTGGGGAATTAGGGGCTAGGGAACAGACAAGTTGCTGTCCTTTTTGTTCTTCAGCCTAGTTGTGGAGGACGTTGCTTCCATAAGGAGGCAACTTGGGAGGACTGGCCCAAGTTGGAACCATCATTGTGCTCTTCCCGGGTGAGGCAGATCAGTCGCCGGCTTCTGGACAGCCGCTAACTGCGGCTGCTGGCTACACACGGTAGCCCATGGCAACCCACTGCCCCAGGGGCTGCAGCCTACGCCGTCGCCGGTGACTCATGGCAGCCCAGCTCCAGGTTGAGCTGTTGTTCAGCATCTTAGCTGTAGAGGGCAGTGTCACTGGCCTTCATATGTGGGATCTGAACCGGGGCCCTCTGGCGTCCCAGGCTAGCTCTTAACCAATGCGCCACTCGGCCGGCCCCTGATGGTCCTTTTTCCCCTCTGTTTCCCCTCTGCCAGTCCTGATTTATGGGTGACTTTGAGCAGAAGGAAGGCCTTCTCTGAGAGTGCCTTTTTCACTCCAAAGTTGAGAAGTAAAACCCCGGTATAGAAGGCTCAGCATATCAGTTCCTGGAGAAAGAACATTCTGGTATTTCCAGTTAGCTTTAGGCCATTAGTGTCACCATAGCCTAGGAAGCTTCTACACCAGTCGTGATGCTAGTCCCCAGCATAAACCCTACAACTGCTTGTCAACATGAAAAGAGCACTGTAGGGGCAGTGAGAATGCTCTGCTGATGTGTCCTAGCCAATGTAGCTAATGACAGGACTCCAAGTAAGGCTACTGACCTCTCTGAGCCTCTGCTTCCACATCTATAAAAGCAGAGCTGTGGCCTCCATAACCGCTGAGTTGACAGCTAGGGCTGCAACTCCGTGATGCTCACAGCTAATTGCCCTGGCGTGGCCGAGCAGCCCCACCAGCTCAGCAGGCCCTCCTCTCCCCTGGCAGGCTGCAGCATAAGCTGGCCCTCCTGCAGCAGCAGTGCGAGGAGAAGCAGCAGCTCTTCGAGTCCCTCCAGGCGGAGCTCCAGATCTACGAGGCACTTTGTGGCAGTTCCAAGAAGGGACTGAAAGGTACGTGCCCCCCACCTCGCCGCCACCACCACCCCATGAGCTTCCTGCCCTTGCTTAGGATTCCTGTGAGGTCTCCACCTTGGAGTTGTAGAGATCTTGAAAAGCTAGAGCTCTGTCTCATCAGGGGACACCTACCGAATGGCTGTAGTGATATTCTGGGTATTAAGGGATGAGAGTCTAACACAAGGTGCCAGCGGGAAGAACAGGGGGAATGGGGAGATGAAAAACATTTTTTAATAAGCAAAATATATAAGAGTTTGGATCTAGGGAAAGTGAGGGAGAAGCATCATGGAACTTTGGGGTTCGTACTCCAGCCTGAACTACCTCCCCTTTCATGCCTTTCTCCCTTTTTATGGGTCTTTCAGGATTCATTTCAAAGCTACTAGCCCTGTAATCCCTTATCCTTAATTCTATAATCCAATAAGAGCTCTGAATTGAAATCTTTTTCATATGCTCATTTGGTGACAAAAACTTAACTGAATGACAGAAGCGGATCCATCGTCTTCGTTTATCCCACTTAGTGAGTCTGTTCATGTATCTCGTTGTAGAAAGAAATGCTAATGCATTTGATCAAGGCCTGTGGTCCAGACGTAACTGGGTGTGCGTATTATATGGCGTATATGATACATGCATCCTGTTGCTTTGCTAAAAATCACCACAAATTCAACCTTTTGAAATATATTTAGCTTCAGTTTTCAGATAAACAATTGTGGTCTTAAAGATGATTTCTTAAATCTCTTCAACCCCAGTAGGTAGGAAGAAATGAAGTGTGGTGAGTGGAGGTAAAAAAAAAAATCATGGAGAAGATAAAAAATTCAATTAGCCGTGCTCCCTGGTCTGTGGTATCCGATTTCCATTTTTACATGCTGCCAAATGGCCTGATGCCTCCCTCCTCCTCCCCTGAGTATGCAGGCTAGCAAATCCCCTCCTCCTTCAGTCCCTTCTAGTTCAGTGCTAGTTCCGTGCTGACCCAGTCTTGGAAGACCCTGCTCTCTAGCCTGAAGGACAAAGGCTAATACAGAGATGAAATCATAGGCTTGACCTCATCTGCCAATCAAATGCCCTCTAGATGCACATGGGTAATTTGAGCCTCAGGAAAGTTCCAGACTGGAGTGTGTGCCAGGCCGCACACAGGAAAGGTGACATCTCTGTCACAGACGTGTTGCCTGGGACTCTGAGATGACAGTGGGGTCCTTGGCAGAAAATAATACCACAGAGAAGTGTCTGACAATATCTTAGCTCAGTGATCCCCACCCCTCCTCTCTCTCTTTTCAGCTTACACCTGGGATGCCTGTCACCAGGTCCCTCTGAGCAGTGACTTGAGCCACCTGGTGACAGAGATCCGAGCTTTGAGAGGGCAGCTGGAGGAGAGCATTCAGGTGAACAACGGCCTGCGACTGCAGCTGGAGCAGCAGCTGGATGATGGTGCGGGCAAAGCCAGCCTCAGCCCCTCCTCCATTAGCCATAGCTTCCCAGCCGCCCCTGACCCTGGTCACAAGCAGCTCATCTTCCAAGGTAGGAAGGAGAAGGGCATCGGGAAGCCCTCAGCCAGCGGGGAGGTCACCAGGATGTCTGTGGTGGGAGGGACAGTCGTGTGTTCCATGCTCCTTAAGGTCAGGGTGAGATGGGCGATGCTCTAATACAGCACCTGAGTGACAGCCGGGATCTGGGTCAGACCTGCTGCTCTCAGGTTGTTTGCCTCAGGCAAGGTGTTTAACCTCCTCAGGTATTTAAGCCTCAGGTTCCTCATTTTTAAGATGCGGATGGCAATAATCTCTGCCTTGTATGGTTATTTGGAGCATGAAATGAAATAATTTACAAGTGCCAGACCCAATAAGAATCACTCAACAATTAACAACTGTGAATGTTAGACTCTATCCCTTGTATGCGTGGAGTGCTTTAAAATTTGCCACAAGTTTTCAAATACTTTCAGCTGAGGCAGGGTGGGGTTTACTCTCTCTCTATTTCACATGAGAAAACTTAGGCATTGAGACTTTAGCTGACATGCTGAGGCTTGTAGGAGCTAAGAGACCAACCCAGGATTTGAACCAGAGGTTTTCTAGTCTCTTCCACCTTAGCATGCTCTGTCTTGGCATTGCTAGCCTCCCCAAACTCTCTAGCCTGGTTTCCCTTTCCCTAACCTGCGGGAACTCAGCTGTGTGGCCAAATGTTCCTGTCCCTAAGGAAATCCGGGCTGTGGGAAGTATGGATGGCGGCCATGTTTATTCCAGGTGGCCATCATCCACTTCTGACCCTGCCCCCTTGCCAGATAAAAATGTTTAGCCAGTTTTCTCCCTCCCTTCTCAATATCCTTCATCAGTCGCACTTCCCCAGTTTTAATATGAATGTTAATATTGTCCCCACACCTCGGCCTCTTTGCACATTCATCTATACTTCCTCTTCTTTCTTTCCTTTTGATACACCGTTTAATTCATCTCCACTCACCTCCATGGCCATATCCTTAATATTATTCTAATCAGAAACCATTTCTGCTCAGGATGATCTAAAGCTGAGCTTTCAAACTTTCGTGCTGGCTTTTCCTGCGGCAGGTTAATCTTTTTTTTCTTGGTTCTGCTAGATTTTCATTGATTAGACAATGACCTCATCTGACAAATGAAGGAGTTACTCCCCTGATCGTGTTGGCATGGTTATCTAGTAAGAAAGCGTACGTGGACTGCCAAGCATAGCGCCTGGCACGTAGAAACTGCTCAGCCTGTGTTAGGTGGATGCTTCACCCTACTTGGCTGCCACGATGGTTGTGATGTCCAGTTGTGTCCCCTTCCTGTAACCAGGCTTTCCCCAGCACGGCCTCCCCACAGCACCAGCCAGGACTCAGCCCCACTGGCTCAGTGCTTCTCCGGCCCACCCACCACAGATGCCTGAGCTGGAAAGCAGGCTCCAAGCCCAGTTTGTCTGAGCATCACTGTTTGTCTCTTCTTTGTGATATTTCCCAGTTCCTCCACTGTAGGATTGCTTCCCGGTCTCTAATAAGGCATCTGTAACCCACCAAGGCTCTGTCTTCTGTTCTTCTCATACTACTGCATTTTTTCCCCCAGTACTAACTCCTCATCAGAAAGGTGATTAGAATGCTAAATCCGTTCATTCCTTGATTCAGTGTGTTTAACGTATATACTACATATATTTAGTTGCAAGGCATTGTATTAGACACTACATACAAAACTATGTTAAAAACTGGGGTTATAAAACTATACCTAATAATTTTTTAAACTAGCAGTTGCCTTCTCATGGAACATCCTTCAGTTAAAGGAACACCTTCTTGTTCCAAACCAACTGATTCATTTTCTCTTGCTTTTGATCGTGGTACATGAGCGATAAACACAAATAAGCCATGCTGCCTTAGATCTCCGATGGCCAAGACTAACTATGCACATGCTTGGTGTGCAGTGTGTTCCAAGGGTCCTGAAAACTGTTCTTGTCATTACTCCCTAGGTTCCGTTGCCTCCCCTCCGGTTCGGGATGTTGGCATGAACCCAGCTCTGGTCTTCCCCAGCTCTTCCGCTGCTCCTGGCCCAGAGACGGCCATCTTCAATAAATCACCTGGTAAATATGGCAACTAAAGGATTCAGGGACTGGTGATAGAAACGTATGGATGCAAGCGACCTTTGGTTCTCTCTCTACACATTGTCTGAATTGAGAGGTTTTTCTCGGCGTGTCCCAAGGCCTTTAGCCCTCCTCATTGCGCCTTCGGTGGCCACCTTATTGTTCTTCTTCCTTCTGTGGTTTATCTTTTGCGCTTTTGTTGCTTCATTGCATTGTAACCTCGCCCTTCTTCAAAGTGCTCTCTGCATCCAGCTGAATTTCCTTGTCTGTGTCTTCTCAACCGAGAAATTTAAAAAAAATTTTTAAATAATATTTATCCTGAATATTTCATTTGTCAGTAAGGACAAAATTTGCCTCCTGGCAATTTTATCATTAGGAGATGATGTAAGAAAATTTATAAAAATGTCGAACCCAGGATATCAAGGGACTTCATACCACGCTCATACTTTCCAAGACCGTCTTTCTTGTTCCTGGGCTCTTTCACTCTTTGATGTCTCTTTTGGATTGAAGATGTGATTAGGAGTAACAGTGGATTCTGTTCTGCTGTGGTTTTATTTTTCAGAGCTGGGTTTGGATGCTTCCCCAGAAATGAAGAACCCACCCAAGCTGGAGGGCGATGCTACTGACGGCTCCTTTGCCAATAAGCACGGCCGCCATGTCATCGGCCATATTGACGACTACAGTGCCCTAAGTCAGCAGATTGGGGAGGGCCAACTGCTGGTCAAAAAGATAGCGTCTCTCGCGAGATCAGCCAGCAGCGTCCCTGGCCTTGAAGCTCAGGGCACAGAGGTAATCACAGTGTAGCTCTTCTGTCCTTTCTTCTGATTTTAGCTCCTTCTCCTACTATTTATTTTCATGCTGTACATATTCTGACAGCTGAGGATTCTTCTTCCATTTACGTGCAGTCAGGACTTTTTTCTCCATCTTCTATTTTCACTATAAACTCTTCTGTGTTTCAAGTGCAGCTGACTTGCTACTTCCCCTCAGAACCACAGAAAAGCCTATGCAGTGTCGTCATCCCCATCAGTAGAGTATTCGAGTGTCAACATTCATGTGGCATTGTGCTGAGCACCCTTTGGTAGCTTGTTATCTGTTATAGCCCCACTGGCACTCCCGTCGTGGGCAGAATAAACTCAATCAAATGGCTAGAAGTTGAGAATGAACACCCGTACGGCCCAGGTGTGTGGAGGCGGGGAGAAGCTTGGCAGCCATGGGATTTCCCTGTTTGGACAGAGCGGGGAGGACAGCAGGCAGCATGCCTCTCAGAGTGCTTTCCTGTTGAGAGACCAGGCTCCAGCTGCTGTGCTGTCCGAGCCACTGGAGATGCATGGACACATAGGGACAGCCCTGTCCCCAGGAGCCCCCACACTCGAGAGGAAGACACACATCTGAGTAAATGTGTTAGAAGTCATCGTCTGGGTGTGCGGGCACGCAGAAGCAGCCATTATCCCAGACAAGGAAAGTAACAGGTTCCTAGCAGACAGCCCAGGGGGATGTGCAAGTTCTCTGGGTGGAGAAGGGCACTCCAGGCAAAGGGAGAGGCACCTCAGTCGCTGGAACTATAAGTGGCTCCCCCCGCCCCAGTTGGAGCCTAAGGTGTGATTTAGGGGAGGGCGAGGGGTGCCAGTGCAAAAGTTAGGGAGCAAAACTCTCCCCTTCTTCCCTTCTAGGTTCTTTGGCTAGCCTAACAATGAATTGGCATAAAACAGATGAACAGGAGAAAAACAAATTTAATTTCATATGAGAGCCCCAAAGATATGAGGTTCCAAGAAGTGACCAAAGCTAGCAGTTTTTATACCTTTTAGATAAAGAAACACTAGATTTGTGATGAATTGAGAAAACAATTGGGCTTGGAGTAGTGAAGAAGTAACAAGGTTTGTTTATACAGGCTTCTCGGCCAGAATTCCATCTCTGCTGGGGAGGATGTGTCTGCCTCCTGGTACAGGGAGGTCACCTTGCACCTGGGAGGGTTATTTCCTGCTTTCAGAGGAATAAGGGAGGATCAGCGTGTCTTTCCTGCACTCGCTCTTTCTTAAGTCACTTTAATTCAAATTAATCAAAATGCCAAAGTGGCTTATTTTGCTCCCCTTCAGGACCCTAGCACTTGGAGCAGGACTAGAAGCTTAAAGAGAGCGTCGGGGAAGCTGGGGTCAAATGAATTCTCGCAGGTGGGACGTCACGGCTGAGGCCGGAGATGATGGGTTTCCAGGTTAGAAAAGGGTTTCACGCATGCAAGCAGGCCCGTGTCGGTGCCTCACTCACAAAGGAGGCTTCAGCCCTGTGCTGGAGAGAAAGAAAAAGTGGTCCTGCAATGCCAGTGACCATGGCTGTCTCCGTCCCCAGGTGCCAGGCAGTGAAGGTGTCCACGAACTCCGGAGCAGCGCCAGCGCCCTGCACCACGCGCTGGAGGAGTCAGCCTCCCTCCTCTCCATGTTCTGGCGAGCGGCCTTGCCAAGCTCCAGCGGCCCTGCGCTGTCTGGCAAAGCGGTAGGAGGCCAGCGTCCTGTACTGGCTCTGCCCCCCGGTTACCATTCTGCCTCCTCACCCCTGCAGATCCTGAAGGTCAGGAGCCCAATGGTTAGTTGAGACAGATGGGACCTTAGAGGAGTGTCCCCGGGGGAGACCTCTCATCCGTGGTGGCCGCTGTCAGCGAAGTTCTGACTACATTCCTACTCCCCCTATTCCCCCCCCTTGACCCCCCAAGATAAGAGATCGAAGAGGAAATGGGAAAGGTATGGAGGAGGCAGGCACATGACAACCCTGGTAACCCACAAAGCTTCAACTTGCTGAAATTGGGCTGAGCTGAACTTCAGGGATGTGTTAAAGCATCAGCGCCTGCCCCCGCTACCTCCACTCCCAACCACACCCCAGGTCTGCGAGGTCAAGCAGGGTCACAGACTGTCACCATCAGACAGCCAGACTCCTTTAGCCACCCACTGGAATCCCAGGACATCACTTATATCTGCATCTCTGGGTTGGGCCTGGGGAGAATCAGCCAGCCCCAGGTGCTCTCAGATCTCAGGCCTGCTCTCTGGTTGGTGGCACCTTGGATGGGCAGGTTACCGAGTCCCCTCCCAGGGCTTCCTCCTCCAGATGAATACCACTGCCACCTAATGGGACCCACCTGTGCTCATTCCAAAGGAGGGGATGTGTTGCCGTCTTGAGGTCAGCACAAATACTTACCAGAAGTGCAGGCTGTCTCAGGCCGGCCCTGGCTCCCCGGGCGTCAAGTTCCCAATCACCAAGTCTCCCTGTCATGCCGACGATGTAACTGGCGGACGTCAGCACCCAATCTGAGCTCCGCCCCACAGCCGGGACTCTGTCCCAGCCTGGAGGCAGGTTCTCCTCAGCACCAGGTCTGTGGGCAGGTGCTGATCTGCTAGGGGCCTTCCGGGTTCTCACTGTCCCTACCCCAAGGCCACCTCCTCAGCCATCAGCAGTTGAGGGGTTTTTGAGGCTTTCGTGGAGGCAGCCCAGCCCAGAAATAGCTGAGAAGGTTGTAGAATCTGAGTTTGGATTCTAAAGAGCCACAAAGCACAGGGCTGTAGGCCTTCTACCATTGGCATAGGGTCTGTTCCTCTTCCCCAGGGAGAGTCCGTGAAGAGGGAACTCCTGGAACTGAGAACCCAACTCTCCAAACAGGACCGCCTCCTGCAGAGCACAGCGGAGCGGCTGAAGACCGCCAACCAGCAGAAGGAGTGTATGGAGCAGTTCATCTTCAGCCAGTGTGGGTGCCCCAAGCCAGGGAGAGGAACCAGGCTTGGGCGGGAGTGGGGGAGAGGGGTCCCAGACTCCCCACCTGTGCTGCGGATGGACAGGGTGACCAGAGAGGCTAGGGGTAGGGGAGACTGATGTGATGTCACCGGGCCTCCCGGGCCATCAGTTGTCATGAATGCAGAGGGAGGGGGGCACGGGCGGGCAGCAGGATACTCCAGGCTGAGTGGCCAGAAAGACACAGTGTGGGCCCAGCTGGTGATGTCCGCCTATTGGGCTGTTCTGTGGTTTCAGTGACCAGGACGCATGATGTTCTGAAGAAGGCCAGGACTAATTTGGAGGTAAGGAAACCACTGCACCCATCAGAGCGACACATCCCACCCCACACCTGTCACCATCGGTCGTCAGAGTCTGCAGGTGATCTTCACCTGCTCTGACCTTCCAGAAGGTGTTCTCTGGGCCCCTTGTAGGAGCACAGGCCCTCCCGAAGCTTCCTTCTCCTTCCTGTCCCCCTCAGCTTCCCCCCCACCCCCGCCCCCAAGTTGCTCGCTCCCCGACATCTCTGCTCACTCTCACATGTCATCACCTCCTCTCTTGACTCCAATTATACCCTCCTTTTCTGCCAAGTCAGGATGCCGGAGAAATGCAATTCAGTTGATTCCGGAAGTCAGAGGACACGTGGCACCCGGCCTCTGAATTCACTTTCAGAAAAGGGATGCTGAGGCCAGTCACGTGTTCTGGTGTTTTCTGTACAACTTTGTAGAAAAAAATAAAAGCAAGACACACCAAATAAATGGATTTCACAGCACACTATTGGGCTGAAAACAGCAATTTTCTTTCAATACATCGTTTTCTTCTAAGCAATATCACAAAAGAAAAATGTTGGGTCTCATTGACCTAAAAGAGAATTCAATAATAAATAAAGAACAAAACTTAAAGAGAAAGATTTTATATATATGGCAGCCATTTTCTACATTTACTTAAAACACTTAACACCTTCTATATCAAGTACTTGGAAGAAAAACTTGAGATGTTAGAAATGGCTTAAAAATCAGAAACTACATCTTTTAACCTGGATTTTAAAGCTTTGCCATAAGCAACTGAGCATACTCCTCGGAAGGTTCCTAAATTGTACCTGAGAGAATGTTGACCCCACAGTATGAAAATGGGTTGGGCCCTGATGGAACTCTGCTTTTTTTTTTTTTTTTTTTTTTTTTTTTTTTGCTAATTCCCTTTTGTTTTTCTCTGATGATTCCTTTCTTTCCTGAGCCTTTGTAGAAGAACACTTACAAGATTGCCTCTGTAAAGCCTTATTCCTGTCCCAGCAAAGGTAACCCAACCGCCTCACCTACCCGCTGGCTTCTCCCAGCTTGGAAGTTCCCTCTCTGCATCCTCTAGGCCCTTGGAAAGGTCCTGAGACCTGAGTTCTAATCCCGGGCTTGTCACCCACTGCTTCTGTGGCTTTGGCTGGGCCCTCAGTCTCTGTGAGCCCACTGCCCCTCGGCTGTAAGAGGCGGCACTAGACCTAGATGATCTCTGAGGTCCCTGCTGACTTGGCCTTTTTCTCTCCTCAGTAAGTAAATGGGACATAAACTTAACATAAACAAAATGTCCTCTCCTTCCCACGACAGGCTGTTTCTATATGTGCATGTGCCCTGCGAAGCACTTCTTTTCCCGCGAGATCACAAAAGGCGCCGTTTTGCTGCCACGTGAATTGGAGAGTCCAGACCCGGAAGTGGCCGGACTCCGCCACGGGGGTGCAGGGGCTTTGAGCAGGGGCCTCGCCGCGCGCGGCGGGAAGCGTTCCTCTAACCTGGTGGCACTCGTTCTCCCACGCCCCCGCTCCCCAGACTGCAGCGCATCTGTTCAGCTCGTCCTCTTAACAGGCCCTTCTTATGCTCCTGGCTTCTGTCACTACTCAGCTGTCACTCCAATCTCAGCCGTCACCATCGGGGCCTGAAAATATACCCTTACTTTGTTTCATTTTTGTCTCCAGGTGAAATCCCTAAGGGCTCTGCCAGGCGCTCCAGTCTTGTGACCCTTGCCTTCCAGGAGCCACGCAAGAAGCGAAGCCACCACAGGTCCTTAAAACAGCAGGAGGGGTGGGCCTGCCCGCCCTTCACGCAGCTACCTATCTGCTGAGGAGATCTCGGCCCTACTCCTTACCTGCGGGAGGGTCTAGAGGAGCCAGAGAAGTGGCCTGGTGGGGCAGAGACCCTTTCCTGCTCTTCTGCCAAGGTCCACCTGGCCCGGCACGAAGCAAACGCATAGTTAGTAGAGGACCTGTGACCCTGCTTCTAACCGCCCCAGGGGCCTGGAGACTAGTGACAGCACATCGCTCACCTCAACAGCTCTCCTAAGATGTCAACTCAGGGGAAACAGGACCCTGCTTGCCACACATGGGGCACGCGTTCCCAACACTGGAGCCTTTCAGCAGGTCGAAAAGCACACGACTGGACACAGTGCCCTGCTGGGCATGGGCTCGGCCAGCACTACTCACAGCTCCACACTGGACCCGGGGCCAACTCAGCCGGGCCCCAGGCAGGCTGGACGTCAGCCTACACAGCAGCACCTGAGTTCTTTGAAGCCACACGGTGAAAGCGGTGACTTTCGATACCATCTCATGCTTAGCTTAGCACCTCCCATTTCTGTTCCTTTATGATCTCCAACGGGTGCTGACCTCACTCTATGCCGTCCTGTGACAGCATGGTCACTTCTCTCTGGGGAAGTGGGGACTGATGGCCAGACCAAGCCCACTGAAAGTCTCCTGTAAAGCAAACCAGTGATCCTTTTGAGGTGGCATGTGAGAGGCCCCCAGTTGTGCTAAAGCCTAGTCTGTGTCTTCACAGTGCTTTAGAATGTGTGTATGTGTGTATAAATGTATGATACATATTTATATATGTTGCTGCAGCACTATGTTGAAAGCCAACATAATTGGTGGGCAGGGTCTGTGAGAGGAAATTAAACCATTTTCTGGTGGCTATTAAAGCATAATGTGTATAAAGAAATAAAAAGTTTTTCTCCGCCGGCTTTGTTTCCCACGTCTGCCCCAGTCTCTGGGCTGAGTAAGAACAGAGAAGACAAACTGTTGTTTGAGAAGCTCATAGTCTCATGCCTGAAGTCTTACGTTTAAAAGAAAAAGATTTTCCTTCTGCATTATTTTGTAAGAATCCCCAGTCTAAATATATAGAGGGGTTCTTAAATTTGAGGTGCCTTCGAATCAGCTGTGGAGATTATTGAAGCTACTTCCTGGGCTCCAGTCGCAAGAGATTTAGTTGGTGTGGGGTCCTAGACTCTGCTTTTTTTACTTGAGCATACCAGGTCATTCTTAGGCAGGTGGGCTGCAGACCACCGTTTGGAAAACATTGTTCTATAACACTGAATCAAAACTAGCTATTTATGGGGTGGCTAGTTAGCTCAGGTGGTTAGCGCACAGGCTCATAACACCAAGGTTGCCGGTTCAATTCCCACGTAGGCCACTGAGCTGTGCCCTCCACAACTAAATTGAAACAACTTATGTGACTTGGAGCTGGTGGGTCTTGGAAAAACACACTGTTCCCCGATAAAGTTTCTTTAAAAAAACAAACTAGACATTTATTTTACTTTATTTATGAACCTTTCACTGAAAAGTTTATGTCATTCCATAAATGTTGACATAAAGATCTTAAAATACTCCTTGGGGAAAGTCCTTAGTTATGTACTTTTGCTTTCCAGAATTAAGATGAAGCTATCACTCCACAATTATTTCCTAGAAACATTAAAAAATTAAAACAGCAACAACAACAAAAACTCAACCACTGTCACCACAACCACCACCACCAACAGCAACAAAAAGATGCACCATCGGACTCATGGCTGAACTACAGACATGCCTTACTTTCATAGTAGATGGTGTGACTCTTAGTATCTGCTTTCGCACTCGGTTGTTGAAGTATTTCCACGAGTGTCATTGGCTGTCAACACAGAAGGACTCGCTGGCAGAATCAACAGAATGGATGAAAAGTCAGCAAAACTGTTAAGTATTATTTAAAGACAAAGTAGCAGAATTTGAGGACCTCTTGCCCTGGGGTTATTCCATTGTCCCAGTAATTCTTCCCTTGTCCCTGAGCTGCCAGGGCTGGTGGGCATTGACAGCATAATCAGTAACCAATGGAGAAAAATATCATGTTACGTACATAACGTTTATGAAAGCAACAACATATGACATCATATAAATCTCAGATCTGGTCAGGAGCCAGTAACAAATTACTCTTGGGGAAAAGTCTTAAAAGCTATTCTTGTAGTTCACCCTTTGCGAAATGTCAAAAAGTAGCTTTGTGTCTTAACAATAGTTGCAAAAATCCCCCCATATCTTTGAGAGGATTCTACAATACTTCATGTTTTGCAAATTATATTCTTTCCCTCTATGTGACAGAAACAGAGCTCACTCTTAAAAAAACAAAAAAAATCAGGTGATATAACCACCAATGTGTCCCAATTTATCATGTTAAGGCCTGTGGGGAGAATTGGGTGAGAATCCTATAGAAAAGAACAGAAAGGGAAAAAATGGTGGGTACCTAATGTAACACTTAAAACATATAAAAATATCTCTTGACCTGACAACCTAAGACAGGCAACCTGCAGAATGGGTGTTGATTATATCCCTCAGATCTTACTGCTGCTAAAGTGAATGAGCTAGACACTCGTATAAGCTTTCTATTGCTGTCATACAAGTTCCCATAAACTTAGTGCCGTAAAAGAAGACAGATTGATTATCTTGTAATTCTGTAGGTCAGGAAATCCAACAAGGACCTCACAGGACAAAAGTGAAGGTGTCAACAAATCTGCCTCACCTTCCGGGGGCTCTCGGGGGATCATCTGTTTCTTTGCCTTTTCCGGCTTTTAGAGGCCACCCACATCCCTTCCATCTTCACAGCTAACAGCAGCAGGTAGAGTCTCGTCTCATCATTCCGACCTTCTCTTCTAGTCTTCCATTTTGAGGGCTCCCCTGCATAATCCAGGGCAATCTCCTCATCTCAAAGTCATTACCGTAATTACACCTGCAAGTCCCTCTTGCTGTGTAATATAGCATAGTCCCAAATTCTGGGGATTAGCACAGGGACATCCCAGGGAGGGGGCCATTATTCTGCCCACCGCAACTATTAACTCAGGTGCCAACTAATACTGGAACTGAAAAAGTATCTTTCCTAATTTCAACAGTTGGGTAAAACTAAGATGCTACCTCAAGACACAGTCGAGAACAGCAAATCAAGACAAAGCAAAATCAGCCATGGAAGTGCTCTACTGGTGACCATAAAATTGTCCAAGTACTAGGCTCCTTAGATTCATTGTCTTGTTTTGGTTTTCACGTGTGGCTTTTTTTCCCCTCTCAACGGTCAACTTTGATTGTACAAATTTCATCCAGGCGAAGAGCGCGGGGTGGAGAAAGGGAAGGTGGTGGCGGAGTCAATGCACCTGGGATCCCACTAACCTTTGCGACCTTTCCACCAGGTCTAAGTGGGGCCAGTGAGCTGGTTTTCTTTAAACCGGCCCTTGCATAACGAAGGGATCCTGGCGCGCCTCCCCGGGGGGGCCACGAGAGGGCGCCGTGGTCCTTCCCTGGGAACTTGCCTTGTAAGAAGCAGGCACGGGATAGTCATCGTGTCCCGGACCTTGCGAGCCAGATGTTAGCCGTGAGTGTCCAGAGGTTCCTGACTTTTGCTCACAGATCCCCGGGGTTTGCCTAAGGCCCGTGGTGCCCCGGTGTCGGGGCGGGGGATGAGAGCGGCTGGCGGTGGAGGCTGAGCTTCTTAGATGAAGAAGCCATCTTACTCTGTCTCCTCCAAACTATTAATAGGTCTGGCCAGAGAGAAATGCGTTCCCGGTTCTCCCGCTGGTGGAAGATATTCCCTCATCTTCCTCTGAGATGGGGCAGCCCTTTCCTATGTTGGCCTGCTTTTGGGGGGTGGGGGGTGGGGGAGAAGCATAGAGAGGGAAGAGGAGTGGTAACAAGAAGGCCACAGAGGAGGATGGGGGAGAGCGCCTTGGAGGCAGCGTGAGGAGGAGGAGGACCCGAGCCTGAATACTACGTGGGTCTAGTCAGTGGCCCCCGAGTGGCAGCCGCTCTTTCTGAAACTCCCTTAACCTCATGCTGGACACACACCCTCCCCTCGTCTCATCCTCCAGCCTCCTTTCCGCCCACAAGAACAGTCTCCCACTTTGAATTCTGAAGGTTCTTTCCTTTTTCACTGGGACTCCCCAGAGCTAGACACAGGCCTGTCACCAGCAGCCAAACCCTTGTCTTGTGGTTCTGGGGACTCCAAAGCACAGAAATCTCCCAAGAGAAAAAGGAGTGCAGAACACATGGGGTCATGGGATCACCCTGCGGGATCTGATTCCAGCTGTCCCACGTCTTCTAGGTTGATATTTGTGAAAATGTCAAATTTCGTTCAAAACTCCAAGAAGATCCTTGGTCCAGGTTATTCTTACCTGTTGTAAATTATGCTATGAAATCATCAACCAGGTGATCAGTCTTCATTCCAAAGCCACAGATCAGCCTTACAAAGGGGAAAGCAGGTTGTGAGTGCCAATTTCAGGAAACTGGGGCAGATCCCGGCAATGCCCAGGTAGGAGAAGCTGCGTAGGCCAATGGCTAAATAACCCCGCCTTAGTCAGTTCAGGCTGCCCTAACAAAACACCATAGACTGATGGCTTAAGCAGACCAAATCAGCTAGTCGAAGGAAGGAAAGAAGGAAGGTTCTCCCTGGAAGTCAGCTTGGTGCTGAGTTCACTTCACCTCCAGGATTCTCTGTCATCTTCCTCTTCAACCCAAGGGCTTCCTCAAGGACCCAGTTACTTCACGTCTTGCTCTCTGGTCTGAAGGCACTGTCTGAGAGCAATTTCCTCCTCCAACCTCCCCCTCCCCACTCTCAGGTCTAACCAATCCATAAGAGAAAACACAAAAAACCTCACCCTGCAAGCAACTACCTCCTTTCTATCCCTTATTTTTAGCCAGCAGTTTCCTTTTTTTTTTTTTTTTTTCAATCCCTGGGATACTATGAGAATGAAGTCGGAAGAATGTGCACAGAAAATTCACCAAGTAGTACTCTGAGATATAACCCTAAATCTATGTGTCTACTACATACATCACACATACATAGTTTTACTTTGTCCATATAGATGGTATAATTTGTATACCGTGTTTTACTTCTTTACTTTAAAAAAAAAAAATTGGATCTGCCTAACACACGATTCCAGAATTCCTTTCTTTGGTTTGTTTGTAACCCAGGATACAAGGTAATAACTCAAGCACGCAGGAAACATGCGTCTTTACGACGCCGCGGATCCGTGGCCGCCGGAAGTGGGCGGGGATCATAACGTC